ACAGAACAGCAGGCCGACGGCAGTATCACAGTCAGGATGGTTACGCTGGATGTTAAGACGCTTACGGTACCTGTGGGTATTTTGAGGATACTGGCAGTCGTTTTCACGTGCGTCACTTTCAGCTTGGTTGCATCTGTGGGCCATATAGGGGTCTCATTTTGGGCATGGTGCATGTTCTCTTGGTGCTTCTGTTTCTCTGTCACCCTCATCATTCTGGTCCTGGAGTTCACCAGCCTCAGCTCGAAGCTGCCCATCTCCTGGGATGATTTTACCACCGCTTTTGCCATGTTGGCCACCCTAATGGTGAGTACCGATTATTACAATTTTGCAGTATATTATTGTCTTGTTTATTTAGTTCTTTCTCATTGAATACTCTTTGTGGTGCTAAGATATAAAGTGTAGAATTTGCCGAAACAGTATTATTTTAATACAACATGCAAACTTTGATAAACATAAAATTGAATATGATTATCAATGTAGATAAATGTAGATTGTTTCAAGTTTAACAATCTAAGCAGGTTAATGTTGAAAATTATAAGGGATATCATTAAATATCTGCGACAGACTGGGGACCTGTCCAGCGTGTACCCTGCCTCTCACCCGGAACGTTAGCTGGACATAGGCACCAGCAACCCTCCCAGTCCCACTAAGTGACAAGGGTGTATAGATAATGCATGGATGAATGGATCATAAATATTAAATGCTCAGTTAAACTAAACTTAAACCCACAAAAAGAAAGGCATAGTGCATACGGTCAATGCAGCAAAAGGAACATAAGCAGGACAATTAACTTGCTTGAGTGAATAAAGGTTAACTAATGTTGAAAATACAATTCATGCTAAATGTATTTCAGCAAAATAAATTAAAATTAAGGAAAATGAATAACCTTAGAAAAATCTTAGGGGGAGGAGAGACAGGAAAAGAAAAAGAACATAGCAAAATTGTATCAATAGAAATGAAAAATAAAGACAAATTTAATGAATAGTAAAAATGTATACATTTTAATAGAAAATATCTGGATAGTTTATACTACATTTTTAAACAATTTCTGTTAGATTTAATGGTGTAATAATTAGTTTAATGTGTACCTCAAATGTTTTTTTTTTCTTGTCAGTCTATACCATATATTTTATCTATTAATAGCTCATCCAAAAATGTATTATACTTGTAAATACTGCTCAAGCTTAGCTCTGTGTCGATCCAAGCATTTAATATTTTATTTATCATCCATCCAGGTGCTCACAGCGTCCCTCCTCTACTCCATCATCTTCACTTGTAGTGCTTGTGGTGAACAGATTGCGGCCTGCGTTTTCTCCTTCCTGACCTTCATCCTCTACGCTGTCGAGGTTGGACTGACTCGGGCCAAGCCTGGTGAAATCAGTGGGTTTCTCTCCACTGTGCCGGGCCTGCTCAAAGTTCTGGAGGCCTTCGTGGCCTGCATCATCTTCATCTGTGTGGACCTTTTGCGGTACAACTTGCTTCCAGGTCTCCAGTGGTGTGTTGCTGTCTACTCCATTTGTTTCATTATTTCCCTCCTCATCATTATTTTAACTATCGGCCGCCTGCTGTCCCGCTTCCCTGCACCTTTTAGCAAAGTTCTGATCGTCTGCAATGTGCTGGCCGTGCTAATGTACATCACAGTTGCCGTCATCTGGCCTTTCTACATCTTTAAGTTATATCCCAGACCAAACTCCTGCCCTGTGGTCTGCGGGTGGGATTTGGCTGTTGTTGTCACTTTCATGACGTATTTCAACCTGATTGCTTATATCGTTGACACAGTATATTCTTTCAAGTTGGTTTTCTTCACCACTCCAGCATAAGCACATAGTTGCATTGATCTGAATAAGGAGATTTTGTTCCTGCTGGAACTTTGCTTTTGTCAAATTGTAACATGTATTCAATAGCATAATTACAGTGTGATGTCTTTGTATTTTACACGCCTACCTGCTGATTTCCATTGTATTTAAAAACATAGTTATATTATGAATTATGTGACTAGTTAATTACACTTTCGGATCTATTTGTAACATTCAGCTAAAATCATGTTGTGCAGGCTTTCTTCTAAAGGGCTGCAGCTGGTGCATGTTGGTTTAGACACATATTTCAATCCTGTGAGACTAAGTAAATCTCCATTCCCAGAGTTGGATCCCAGCCCATAATACATTATGTTTACAAAGGTGTGTCAAAGTGCAAACAAACCAAAACACATCGCAACTTTTGTTTTTGAATTTACTTGTCCAAAGTAACTTTTTCTGAGTGGTAAAATAAAGGACCGATAGAGGAAGCACTAAAAACACCGAGGAGACACTGATTATTGTTTTTAGATATATATATCTTCAAAGGACCTATTATGCAAAATTCACTTTTTGCACATTTTTGTACTTCCATTTGGGTCTCTACTGCTTCTAGAAACATCCAGCTGACTTCTTTAAAACAGGTCTGAAAGCATATTTGTTTACTCCAGAATTCAATCAAAGAATCACGTGAACTGTTCGCTTGATCACAATCTAAGCATGCTTTGAAGCATTCTGTAGAAGCAAAATATTTTTCTTTAATAGTTTTAAAAAAATGTATGTATTTGCTTATTTATATACAAGATTTTTAAGTGCATGGTGTATTGAAGTCTCTTTTTAAGTAAAGCTTAAAGATTTACTTCAGATTTGAATTCCTGTAAGCACTTTGAACTGCCCTGTGTGTTAATGGTGCTGTACAAATAAACTTGTCTTGCCTGTTAAAGTTAGATATAAAAGGTGCATCTTCTCTGTGTTTGTATCAACCTATAATATATAATACTACATTTTCTAGATAATGCGATACTGTTTTTGACCCAATAATACAGCCACTGATAATAATGTGAGAAGGTTTTAATCTACATGGTGGTTAAAACTGAGCAAAAACATCTAGGTCACATGACCACTTCTGTTTCCATTATAACTTGTAGCACTGTCTCATCTACCAACCAAACACACTTTGTATTTTTTTTTTAATAAAGCAGTTCATGCATGATTTTATAAATGTACTGTAGATATCTGAGAAAATATCAACCTCCGAGTGTCCATCATCTATTCCATCTTCTTCACCTTTTGTACTTCCACAAGACAAATCGGCACTTGTATTATCTCCTTTCTCTAATCATCTGTCTAGGTTATATGCACAATTACTAATCTATTTCCATCTAGTGAATTTGCTTCATTTTTGCCCTCTTCGTACCTTTTTGCGGTACCTTTAAGGGAAGTCTTGTTTGCCTAGAGTGTGCTGACTGCGTTCATGTACAGCTAAGGTCAAATGGGGAGTGTATTTGCCTTCAGGCTCAATCATGGCCCATTATTCACAGTTCATTGTGAATTCCACCCACGATGAACTGAGGGTGGAATTTGCTAGTGGTTGCCTGTTTTATGACCAGTTAAACCATTATTGATTACATTGTGGATGCGCCAACATTGCCCTTTTTACCAGTTGAAAAAAAGTAAATTTTTCTTTTGCTTGGATTTGACTGTGAAAGACTCGTTTTGTTGAAATCGTTAAGAAGGGAGGTTCTGTTGAACATGATCCCAGAGTTTACGCCTTCCAGACATATTCTTTTGATTAAATTAACTACATTAAATATGATTCATTATATAAAATATAAGATGTAGGTAAATTGTTGTTAAAATAAGGTTGCTGTGGACACTTATAATGGAGTGACTGTAGCTAAAAAGTCACAAACTGAAGCTCTAATCAGCACTAGGCTCATAAATCACCTGCCCATAAAAAACGATGTTTGCTAAGGTGTGTCATGGTGCAGATACACTATAACACAGAGCAGCTATTGGTTTTGCGTTTGCTTTGTCATTGTAAGTTTGTTTATGATGTGCACTAAAATTAAAGGCTGGGCGGAAAAATGTGTCATGCAAACCTGGAAAGAGGAGGGATTAGTTTTTAGCTTTTGCTCTTGCAGCTAATTTCCTTTTGGATTCTCCATATATTTTTGGAAAGCACATGTGCGGGCCATAAAAGAAAGAGGGAGGTTGTAAGTGAAAATGAATGCAAGTGGCAAACTACAAAAAAACTATTTGCTACAGATCTCAAGTCTGCTATAATTCTCACTACTGATAGTCTTAGATGGAGATCAGTGTTGCTGTGGTAACTGACATGCCTCTTTCACATACTGGACACAAACCTCGCTATGATTTTATAGGTGCTGTGGCGTCATTGTGCATAAAGCCACACCCAAAACTGATGCATCCCACACACCTACAAACCCACAAACTATTAGTTACTTAGAATACTGGGGATTTTTTTTTTTTTTTTTTTTTTTATGATGACACACTGGGATATAATATGGTTGAGATGATATTTTAAAATATATCTAGCAATTTGCTTCAATTTAACTCAAATGTTTTTAAATTAACCTGAATCTTACCAAAATTTGACAGCATTGCTTAATGATGGGAATTTTGTATGTTTTTTTTTTTGTTTTTTTTTTACTTTACATCATATTGCAATGTTATTCCCTCATCAACTACAATTAATTACCATGGAAAAACCAGTTTGACAAACTATAGCACAGAGAGAGGTGTCTCTGTTGATTCTGGAACATGCTTATTTATTTCAAACTTGCTTCTGTCCAACAATCTTTAAACGACTCAAGATACTTCAGTCCATTTTCAAAAAGACCAATGAACTGAACTAAAAGCAAGTGTGCATACAGGTCAATTAGGTTCCAAATATTATCAACAGAAAGTAGATGTCATAGGTTCAGAAAGTTATTTTTAGGAGAAAAGTCAAATATTTTCCTCCATCTTGCAGTGACCTGTTTTGAAATTTAAAACCTCCTTCAACAATTTGAGAGCTTTATTTTTTTGTGGTGACAAAGGATAAATGTTATTCACCTCACCGAGTTAGAATTGCCTTAAAATGACTTTGCCTTTGTTTCAAAGCAACAGCACAGCGGCTGCTATCATTGTCATGAACACAACAGCAGCCTACACCTTGTCTTTGTCCTAGATATGAACTGTGAATTTAGTTTGCATCAGAGACCAAAGTCCAGCAAATATTGTGGAGCTCACTTAGTAACACCCATCCAGCATCCAATCACTAGCTTGAAACAGGTACAATAAAACAGTACAGATAAGCTTAGGATGCTCTGCTACATTGAACTCTACACCTGTGTTTCTGTTCCAAAGACAACACCTGTTGGAAGGTTTGCTGTTGGAAGGTTTGCGTTCATGGATGTCTTCATCGAGATCAGGCTGCAAAATCTGGGCATTGCTGGACGGCACCCCAAAGGGAAAACTGACTGAAAAAAGTCAGGGATTTTCATTTGGTTGGACAGATTCCTCCTGGAGCAGCCATGGTCTACATGAATTTGAAATCCATCACCCAGCCTGTGGGCATCTTACGAATACTGGCAGTCATTTTCACCTGCATAAGTTTCAGCCTGGCAGCCTCAGTGACTCCTGACTCCTCGCCGTACTGGGGATGGTGCATCTTCACCTGGGTCTTCTGCTGCTTCTTCACCCTTCTCATCCTCATCCTGGAGTTCACCACCATCAGCACCAAAGTGCCTTTTGCCTGGGAGGACTTCACTGGTGCCTTTGCTATTCTGTCAAGTGTAATGTGCCTGTTCGCCGCCATCATGTACCCCACCTTTTTCGCCTGCAACACGTGTTACCGCCAGATTGGAGCCTCCGTGGTGTCCTGGGTTTGTATTGCGGTGTACGTGGCCGAGGTGGTCCTGACACGCCTTCGCCCAACTGGACAGGACAGTGGATTTCTCTCCACGCCGCCGGGAATAATGAAGATGCTGGAGAGCTTCTTCGCGTGTCTCATCTTCCTGTCATTGGAAAATGACCACTACTCGGGTCATCAGTACGCCACAGGACTGAACTGGTGTATAGCTGTGTACTCTCTGTGTTTCATTTTAGCCATCACCATAATCCTGCTCACTCTTGTAAATATTACCGCCTATGTTCCTTTCCCTTTTGACAAGGTTGTGATTGTCTGTAATGTTTTGGCAGCTGTGATGTACCTGACAGCCATGGTTATGTGGCCACTGTATTCGTTTCACAACAATAAGAGACCAGCGACCTGTGGCCGCCTCTGTCCCTGGGATAAATTGGTTCTGATCACAGTCATGACAATCTTCAACTCTATTGTGTACGTGCTGGACTCAATCTACTCCATACTTCTTGTCTTTTTTCTCAGAAATGAATGAGTTGCTGTTCATCAGACTAATACAGCGGGACTTGTACTTTAAGTAGTCTTTTCTGAACAACAAAAAAGACTATTTCTGTGCCAATAGTTGGTTGCTGATCAACTTTTGCTTATCGAACAGATATATATTTAATGGAAAAGATTACCCTGTTGGTTAAACAACACAGCCAAGAAAGACAATTGGTTAAACATTAGAGATGTGATATCATTGTAGTAAAATGACAAATAGCTGTGTGAAACGTTGAATCATGAGGGTAATGAAACAGGCATAACAAGCACTCATACTTTAATTTTATTGTCAAACATTTACTGTCGTTAATGTCAAACTGTGCCAAGTCAGGGTGAAACTACTGTCTGAGATTAATAAACATTTATACATGCCTGAATCACTGCATGGTACTGTCTTGCATTTCTAGTGCAAACAAGGATGCACAATATTAAGATTTGTACTAAAACTAGCAAAACATTTCTGCTCCTCTGATTTTGTAGCATATGTAATTAAGTTTTCAGTTAATCCAGGTTGTAAAGGGTTAATGGACATACCAAAAAATAAATAAAATTGTGAATTAACATTGTAACTTCAAGATATAACACTGATAGCGATTAGCTCTCCTCAGCCTTCCAATAGCTTGAAGTGACTGACATAACCAGAGAGTTGGACTTATTTTCTCATTAGTTTAGATTTGGTCACTTCAGGGCAGTGACAGACTAGATCCTGGCGCTTCATCTTCTGTGGGCCACATCTACACTTTCAAATGTCCTTGACAGTCTAGTGTGAAAGTTGGAAAACAAATTGGTGAATCTGTACACAAATTTGAACATGCTGCTTTACTATAAATGTTGTTGCAACCAGGCTCAGACAAGGTAAACAGAGAGATGTGGGTTATTCTAAAAAAAAATGCCAGCTCGGGTATAAAGTGTCTTTACTCCACTACATGGATCCAAGTATTCATTTACAGAAGTGAAAGTGCTGTACTCAGTTTGGAACAAACAGGGTCAGTCTTATTAGGTTTTACAACTTCAATTTATCAGACATTTGTTTCTATAGAGAATGTAGGGCATACCTGGATATTATGTGCATCATTTATGTGTGTGTCTTTTATATATATATATATATATATATATATATATATATATATAATACAAAATTAAATGTTTTGCATTACTCAATATGAAGGTATTTTTTTAATTAACTGTAGATTTATCATCATGATATGGAAAACATTTATTCAGGCTTTTCACAAAGAAATAATTGTTCAGATTCACTGCCGCTGCAGGCTTGAAAAAAGAGCTTAATGACTTTAT